TCACGGATCAGCATTGAAGAAATCATTTATGAGTGGACAAAATAATTTTATTCATTTTTAATCATTGGCGTCTTTTTATTCACGTCAATGTGACATTAGATGATATGTGAAATTAAATATTTCATTTATCCTGTCATCTACATGAGCTCGAAAATTATTCCTGAAGTTTAAACATAGTTCTTTATAGTGAGCTCTCGTTTAAATTATTTCTCGTTCGATTAAAAAATTTTGAAATTAATTGCTCTATAAAAACAATATCATGTGGTGCATATCATGATCGTTAAATTTTCGATCTGAATATCGTGATCTTAGGATTATATAATTCTAAAATAATGAAATGACTCATATCGTATATAGGATCTTAAAATTGTATAATACATACAATCTCTTTATTGGATTCTAACCATTGCTCGATCTAACTATCTTAGAAATCCTATTCAATGAATGAAATAGGTTGGATATTATGTAATTAGGTCTCACGTCATATAAAAACTAAATTCTAATCTTAAAAATAGACTAAAATGAAAATATACTTTGACGTCAAGTTTTGATTTAGCACTTGATGGAGTTTTCATTAAAGTTAGGTTTTTAATTTTTAATTTTCTTTTCTTTTCATTTCAGAAATCAATTGCGAACATTACAAAGTAGTTGCAACCTTGATTTTAGAGTATTCGATTAAGGGGCAGCCTCAACTTATTTTAATGAATTTTAAAAATCGATATAATTCTCCAACTCAGATTTTTTATAAGAGCAATGCTATACTTATCGAAAATTGTTGACAAACACTTTGACCAAGACTCACGATAGGGGGAGGGCCCACATTTTTTAAAAATTTTGTTATTCACGCGAGGTCCGCACGCATGTGAGAGGTTGTCAAACTCGTTGTCATTCATTTTCGGTACAAATAGAAAAATAAATTTTTTTATAATATATCTCCATTAGAGGGTATGTTAGACATTCTTAAATTTTCATAATTTATTTTTCACTTGTTGTCTCTCACATACACGACAATTAATGCAATGCAATCCAATCGTTGGAGATGCTCTTCTCTCCATCCACGTTTTGCTTGTTACATTGTTGCATTGGAAATGCTCTAAGAACATCGTAAATGCAACCATGGATTGCTTAAAAAATTGTATCGTATGAGCAAAATAAAACCGTGTTTAAAAAGTAATTTTCAGTTCAAGCGGATAGCAATTACGTCAATCGAAATGATACAAAAAATAGACAATATTTAGAGCTCTGTCTAGATTCAACAATTCTGTTAAACTAAGTGACTTAGCAAAATTAAACCTTTTTTTTTTTTTGGATTTATATTTTGTGTCCTAATTTAAAAGTGATTTTCTTTTCATTTTAAGAAAATGACAAGCATCTAGATAACAATCAATAGAACACATTGGAGACTAGTTTTGGACTAAGTGTCTATTTAATTTTTATAGATATCAATATCATGTGGATGTGAAGACTTTCAACCTTCATAGAATGCATTAGAGATGCTATAATAGCTCATTATAACTTTTATGTCTTCTATAACCCGTGGGTTTTTAAGGATATTGAGTTTAGTTGCAAGAGATTATTTGAAGTGAAAATTGATTTTTTTTTTTTTTTTTTTTTTTAAGAATATGTGGTTAAAAAAATAAGAAAAAACTATGGGTCAACATGTAAATTATTTTATTGTAAGAATGTGTGATTAAAAATAAGTAAAAATTAAATTTTCAAGTAAGTTGTACTAAACTAATGGATAATGTTAATAGATTTTAACAATCGAGTGAGTTAGCCTATGTATTTTAAGAACTAGAAACATTCATTAAATTTTGAGTATTTTGTAAACGGAATCATGCGGTTCCATGTAATTTTTTTAGAAACGTGAATCAGAATTGTCGGTTTTGATTCTATTCGATTCTACCGTAACTTTATTTTATTTTTATTTTTTTGAAAAAAAAATTCATAAGCAGCCAAAAATTTAGTAAACAATTATTTGCATTAGTTTATTCAACGTGTTACATTTTTAAACCAAAATGTAAGGAAAGAGAAAATTATATATTGAGTCCCCATTAATTTCCTAAAGTTTCCTTTCCAATATTAAAGAAGTCCCTGTTATTAGTGAACTCAATCAGACAATTTACACAATATGTGAAAGTGAAAAGAATTGTAAATGCAACCATGGATTGCTTAAGAAATTGTATCATATGAGCAAAATAAAACCGTGTTTAAAAAGTAATTTTCAGTTCAAGCGGATAGCAATTACGTCAATCGACGTGATACAACAAAATAGACAATATTTAGAGCTCTGTCTAGATTCAACAATTCTGTTAAACTAAGTGACTTAGCAAAATTAAACCTTTTTTTTTTTTTTTTGGATTTATATTTTATGTCCTAATTTAAAAGTGATTTTCTTTTCATTTTAAGAAAATGACAAGCACCTAGATAACAATCAATAGACCACATTGGAGACTAGTTTTGGACTTAATTGTCTATTTAATATTTATAGATATCAATATCATGTCGATGTGAAGACTTTCAACCTTCATAGAATGCATTAGAGATGCTATAATAGCTCATTATAACTTTTATGTCTTCTATAACTCGTGGGTTTTTAAGGATTTTGAGTTTAGTTGCAAGAGATTAACTAAAGTTAAAATTGATTTTTTTTTTTTTTTTTTTTTAGAGAA